CGACAAAATGAGACTAGTCACGAGGGAGCATTCACCAAATTCAACTTCAATAACAAAAACATAAAGTGGGACCAAGTAAACCAAGTCCAAAACCGATATAAGCTGGGAAGATATAACTAAGCAACACAGACCCAAACTTATGCCTAGAACAGATTAACTCGGTGGCACTCGATGTATGCAAAAGGCTTATTCCTCTAAGAAAAAGGAGGAGTAGATGTAAAATAGAAAGAGACAGGCGCTCCCTTTACAGGCGACGGAAAAGAATAACAGAGCGGCTAAAAGAGGTCAATATATCTGAAATGCGCAGGGAGACACTGGTCAGAGAAATAGCAAGCATCGAACTTAAGCTAAAAGAATCCTTTAGGAGTCAGGAATTGCGGGAAGAACTAAAAGCTATAAATGAAATCGAAAGAAACCCAAAGTATTTCTTCTCCTATGCCAATCAAAATCGAGAACAACGCCAGTATTGGGCCCCTACTTAAACAAGATGGGTCCTACACAGATGACAGCAAGGAAATGAGTGAGCTACTCAAGTCCCAATATGACTCAGTTTTTAGCAAGCCGCTAACAGACTGAGAGTCGAAGATCAAAATGATTTTTTTATGAGAGAGCCACAAAATTTGATTAACACAAGCCTATCCGATGTTATCCTGACGCCAAATGACTTCGAACAGGCGATAAATGACATGCCCATGCACTCTGCCCCCGGGCCAGACTCATGGAAACTCTGTGTTCATCAAGAACTGCAAGAAGCACCTATCACGAGCCTTTTCCATCCTATGGAGAGGAGCATGGACACGGGGGTCGTCCCTCATTACTAAAAACAACAGACATAGCCCCACTCCACAAAGGGGGCAGTAAAGCAACAGCAAAGAACTACAGACCAATAGCACTAACATCCCATATCATAAAAATCTTTGAAAGGGTCCTAAGAAACAAGATCACCACCATCTAGAAACCCATCATTTACACAACCCAGGGCAACATGGGTTTAGAACAGGTCGCTCCTGTCTGTCTCAACTACTGGATCACTACGACAAGGTCCTAAATGCACTAGAATCGAGTCAAAAAGAATGCAGATGTAATATATACAGACTTTGCAAAAGCCTTCGACAAGTGTGACCATGGCGTAATAGCGCACAAAATGCGCGCTAAAGGAATAACAGGAAAAGTCGGTCGATGGATCTATAATTTCCCCACTAACGAAACACAGAGAGTAGTCGTCAACAGAGTAAAGTCCGAGGCAGCTACGGTGAAAGCTCTGTTCCACAAGGCACAGTACTACTCCCATCTTGTTCCTCATCCTCATATCGACATAGACAAGGATGTCAGCCACAGCACCGTGTCTTCCTTTGCAGATGAACCCGAATCTGCATGACAGTGTCTTCCATTGCAGACACTGCAAGGCTCCAGGCGGACATCAACCAAATCTTTCAGTGGGCTGCAGAAAAACAATATGAAGTTCAACGATGAGAAATTTCAATTACTCAGATATGGTAAACATGAGGAAATTAAATCTTCATCAGAGTACAAAACAAATTCTGGCCACGAAATAGAGCGAAACACCAACGTCAAAGACCTGGAGTGATTATGTCGGAGGATCTCACCTTCAAGGACCATAACATTGTATCAATCGCATCTGGTAGAAAAATGACAGGATGGATAATGAGAACCTTCAAAACTAGGGAGGCCAAGCCCATGATGACACTCTTCAGGTCACTTGTTCTATCTAGGCTGGAATATTGCTGCACTCTAACAGCACCTTTCAAGGCAGGTGAAATTGCCGACCTAGAAAATGTACAGAGAACCTTCACGGCGCGCATAACGGAGATAAAACACCTCAGTTACTGGGAGCGCTTGAGGTTTCTAAACCTGTATTCCCTGGAACGCAGGAGGGAGAGATACATGATTATATACACCTGGAAAAATCCTAGAGGGACTAGTACCGAACTTGCACACGAAAATCACTCACTACGAAAGCAAAAGACTTGGCAGACGATGCACCATCCCCCAATGAAAAGCAGGGGTGTCACTAGCACGTTAAGAGACCATACAATAAGTGTCAGGGGCCCGAGACTGTTCAACTGCCTCCCAGCACACATAAGGGGAATTACCAACAGACCCCTGGCAGTCTTCAAGCTGGCACTGGACAAGCACCTAAAGTCAGTTCCTGATCAGCCGGGCTGTGGCTCGTACGTTGGTTTGCGTGCAGCCAGCAGCAACAGCCTGGTTGATCAGGCGCTGATCCACCAGGAGGCCTGGTCACAGACCAGGCCGCGGGGGCGTTGACCCCCGAAACTCTCTCCAGGTAATCCAGGTAAACATGTTGTGGTCTTCACTATTGCCAGGTCAAGGCGGAAGAGTTTCTTTTTGTTGTGGAAAAACCCGTCGAAAAGATAGTGGCAAGAAAGACAGTCAACCTGGGCACCCTGTATGTTCCACACTGGTAAGGTAGTCAACCTGGGCACCCTGTATGTTCCACACTGGTAAGGTAGTCAACCTGGGCACCCTGTATGTTCCACACTGGTAAGGTAGTCAACCTGGGCACCCTGTATGTTCCACACTGGTAAGGTAGTCAACCTGGGCACCCTGTATATTCCACACTGGTAAGGTAGTCAACCTGGGCACCCTGTATGTTCCACACTGGTAAGGTAGTCAACCTGGGCACCCTGTATGTTCCACACTGGTAAGGTAGTCAACCTGGGCACCCTGTATGTTCCACACTGGTAAGGTAGTCAACCTGGGCACCCTGTATGTTCCACACTGGTAAGGTAGTCAACCTGGGCACCCTGTATGCTCCACACTGGTAAGGTAGTCAACCTGGGCACCCTGTATATTCCACACTGGTAAGGTAGTCAACCTGGGCACCCTGTATGTTCCACACTGGTAAGGTAGTCAACCTGGGCACCCTGTATGCTCCACACTGGTAAGGTAGTCAACCTGGGCACCCTGTATGTTCCACACTGGTAAGGAAGGTAGTCAACCTGGGCATCCTGTATGCTCCACACTGGTAAGGTAGTCAACCTGGGCACCCTGTATGTTCCACACTGGTAAGGTAGTCAACCTGGGCACCTTTGTTCCACCCCTGGTAAGGAGTCAACCTGGGCATCTTGTATGCTCCACACTGGTAAGGAAGGTAGTCAACCTGGGCACCCTGTATGCTCCACACTGGTAAGGAAGGTAGTCAACCTGGGCATCCTGTATGCTCCACACTGGTAAGGAAGGTAGTCAACCTGGGCACCCTGTATGCTCCACACTGGTAAGGTAGTCAACCTGGGCATCTTGTATGCTCCACACTGGTAAGGAAGGTAGTCAACCTGGGCATCCTGTATGCTCCACACTGGTAAGGAAGGTAGTCAACCTGGGCACCCTGTATGCTCCACACTGGTAAGGTAGTCAACCTGGGCATCCTGTATGCTCCACACTGGTAAGGAAGGTAGTCAACCTGGGCACCCTGTATGCTCCACACTGGTAAGGTAGTCAATCTTGGCATCTTGTATGCTCCACACTGGTAAGGAAGGTAGTCAACCTGGGAACCCTGTATGCTCCACACTGGTAAGTAAGGTAGTCAACCTGGGCACCTTGTATGCTCCACACTGGTAAGGAAGGTAGTCAACCTGGGCATCCTGTATGCTCCACACTGGTAAGGAAGGTTGTCAACCTGGCACCTTGTATGCTCCACACTGGTAAGGAAGGTAGTCAACCTGGGCATCCTGTATGCTCCACACTGGTAAGGAAGGTTGTCAACCTGGGCACCTTGTATGCTCCACACTGGTAAGGAAGGTAGTCAACCTGGGCACCTTGTATGTTCCACACTGGTAAGGAAGGTAGTCAACCTGGGCATCCTGTATGCTCCACACTGGTAAGGAAGGTAGTCCAACCGGGGCATCCTGTATGCTCCACACTGGTAAGGAAGGTGTCAACCTGGGCACCTTGTATGCTCCACACTGGTAAGGAAGGTGTCAACCTGGGCACCTTGTATGCTCCACACTGGTAAGGAAGGTAGTCAACCTGGGGCACCTTGTATGCTCCACACTGGTAAGGAAGGTAGTCCAACCTGGGCATCCTGTATGCTCCACACTGGTAAGGAAGGTAGTCAACCTGGGCATCCTGTATGCTCCACACTGGTAAGGAAGGTAGTCAACCTGGGCATCCTGTATGCTCCACACTGGTAAGGAAGGTTGTCAACCTGGGCACCTTGTATGCTCCACACTGGTAAGGAAGGTAGTCAACCTGGGCACCTTGTATGCTCCACACTGGTAAGGAAGGTAGTCAACCTGGGCACCTTGTATGCTCCACACTGGTAAGGAAGGTAGTCAACCTCGGCATCTTGTATGCTCCACACTGGTAAGGAAGGTTGTCAACCTGGGCACCTTGTATGCTCCACACTGGTAAGGAAGGTAGTCAACTTGGGCATCCTGTATGCTCCACACTGGTAAGGAAGGTTGTCAACCTGGGCACCTTGTATGCTCCACACTGGTAAGGAAGGTAGTCAACCTGGGCATCCTGTATGCTCCACACTGGTAAGGAAGGTTGTCAACCTGGGCACCCTGTATGCTCCACACTGGTAAGGAAGGTAGTCAACCTGGGCATCCTGTATGCTCCACACTGGTAAGGAAGGTTGTCAACCTGGGCATCCTGTATGCTCCACACTGGTAAGGAAGGTTGTCAACCTGGGCACCCTGTATGCTCCACACTGGTAAGGAAGGTAGTCAACCTGGGCACCCTGAATGCTCCACACTGGTAAGGAAGGTAGTCAACCTGGGCACCCTGAATGCTCCACACTGGTAAGGAAGGTAGTCAACCTGGGCATCCTGTATGATCCACACTGGTAAGGGAGGTATATAACTTGGATGCCGTGTACACGCCACACTGTGGGTTACATCTACACAGGTAGACGGTGTTGGTTGGTGTCACGGCGGCTGTGACGTGGTTGCCGCCGCTGCTTCGAGGATTCAATGAATGTTCAGCTGATCTCACCTGTGACAAGTTCCCGGTGCTGGAGGGTGGCTTCCTCAGTTGTTATTGGAGTGCTGAGGAGGGAGGACGTACCCACTCCGCTCTCCTCTTATACCTGATGTCTACCAGTGGTCATAGTGACGGATCATTTTCTCGTGTGTAAACCTTCTCAAGGTGGGCGTCTCTATGTTGGTGAAGGGCTCTTTATCTTAGGAATTGGAGCCATCCTTCCCTTTTCCTTAGATCGAATTTGTCTCCTATTCCCTAGGCGATATATGACCTCTACGGATTTAGAGTTTCTCGGTAAATTAAATCAAAATAATCTTGTGTATAAATGTGTTAAAATCGAGGGAAAAGACAATTGTAAAAATAAAATTTAACTGAACAGGAAGGGAACTTTGAATGGTGTGGAGGTGAGGTGTGCAGGTGTGGCCTACTGCAGCAGCTGCCACACACCTGCTTATACCCACACCTACCTTCAAGGGCAAGTGCATGGATGCTCTTGACGGGTTCTTGATGCAAGGTATTGGAGCTACTCTTGCCTTTCCCGGATCGAACCTGATTACCACAAATTCTTCAGACGCTGTGTGACCCTTACGAGGTTAGTGTATCCCAGTAATAATAATAATAATAATAATAATAATAATAATAATAATAATAATAATAATAATAATAATACCCAGTAATAATAAGGCCTGGCCTGACCACACACACACATGTACTTACAGCCACTCATGGTGCCACAACACTTCCCTTACATTGCAAGCACCATGATCATACCAGGACACAATATAACTTATTTTATGCATTACTGTAGCATACGACATGTGTTCAGTCATCCATATGCAACAATTGATGTGACTAGTAATGATATTGTGTGGTGGTGATACTGTGTAATAGTGATATTGTGTGGTGGTATTGTGTAATAGTGTTAGTGATATTGTGTGGTGTGATATTGTGCAATAGTGGTGATACTGTATGGTGATGATATTCTGTAGTGGTGATGCTGTGTAGTAGTGGTGGTGGTGGTGATATTGTGTTGTGAAGATCTTGTGTGGGGGTGTGATATTTTTGTGAATTATTATTATTGTTATTATTATTATTATTATTATTGTTGTTGTTGTTATTATTATTATTATGTGAGCAAATTACCTGCAGGAGGTTTACAGGGTATTACTTGAATTATTACCTGCAAGTAATTTGGTTGAGATAGTGGGACTTAAGTCACAGTAGGTCGCCGAGCTGTAACTCCCTCGATGCCCACTTCTTCACTACTCACACAAAAAGCTAGACCTGATCATTAAGTTAATAATTACAATATTAAAACAAGCTACTCTGGTAAATTAAAGTTGTGGACTGTATATGATTAGGCTTGCTGGGTACACAAAAGAATTTCGTATTACCACTTACCATTTAATTACTGTAGATGGATCACACCACAACACTGCCTGACACCTAGACCCTACACTGGCCAGTTAGAGATCTAAATGCAAGGACTAATGGTACACTTCCCTGTGAGTGATGTTCGTATCCCTTATCTTCTGCCATCCACATGTAATTCTTGAGGTACCACAAATTTCCTGTCCCATTTCTTCAGCAGGGGACATTAACATGGGTTCCTAATTACAAATTCAGGCCAAAACCTCCAATTTGGCTCGGAATATGCCGGATTATTAGCAGAATTTCCCACGACAACCAGTGTCCACAGATTACAAATGGCGTCTCCCATCCAGAAAGGGTCAAATCAGCATGATATTTTATTACACAATGATTGTTTTATTCAAATTTACACAAGCTAAATTTAGGAAAATCCAAAATTCTCCACAGATATTGTGTGATGGTGGTGATATTGTGGTGGTGATGATATTGTGTGATGATGATGTGTGGTGGTGATATTGTGTGATGATGTGTGGTGGTGATATTGTGTGATGATGTTGTGTGGTGGTGATATTGTGTGATGATGTTGTATGGTGGTGATGATATTGTGTGGTGGCCTTGTTATTTTGTGTTGGTGATGTTCCTGCGTGGCGCTTGGTGAAGAATTAGTAGCAGCAGTGAGGCTAGTTTAAATTGCTGTCTACTTCTAGACGAACAAGTAATGATATTCTTGGTTATATGACTCACCACCTGCCTCGTAACTTGTGAGAACACCTGTGTAATGTAAACAAGAGTTCACAAGAACTGAAGAATACCACCACATGTATGCCAACACTTCTCAACTATGGTATAAAGACACTATAAAAAGCAAACCTTTATTTTTAGACTAAGTATCGCTCTAAGCTGAGCTCTCTCTGATTTGATTAAGCTCAATTTAGAGCGATAAGAAATCTTTTAATAAAGTTTTGCTCTACAGTCTTTTTTGCAGTACCATCACTTGAGTGGTATCTCTCGCTCATATTGACAACTTCTTACAATTAAGCCTATTATTTTCCCGGACTAGGTTATATTTGCTGTTCTGCTTGTTGAGTGTTCATTTGCTATGTTGTTCTCTCCGAACATTATTGTTCCGGGGTCTTTTGCCTCTTCCTTCTATTCTTTGACACAACCTGATTTCGTTTTGTATCATGTATGTGTTTTGTTTTTAGTTCTTTGCGTAAAAAAAAATAGGTACCGTTACGTAGCTGAAAAATTACTGATTAAACACCCGTCTCACCCCGGAACTAAGATGTTGATAAAAAATACCACAAGCCTCGTGACCCGCAGCTTAATGATGCCGTGGAGAATTTATATATATATATATATATATATATATATATATATATATATATATATATATATATATATATTGTGTTTGTATGTGCGTGTGTGTGTGTGTGTCGTGCTGAATAGGTATAGCTTGCGATTTTGGCTTAAATAGCAACGCTCTTCTTTGCGAATAAGGCAAGCGAAAATTTGTGTATGCAATAATTTCGCAAAAATCATTCTGAACCTAAAAAAAATATATATTTCATTGTGTTTGTGTATTATTAAATATATGTAGTTGGATTCATACATACATACATACATACATAATTCGGGCCAGCAGGCTCGAATCCTGTTGGGTAGTAGTGGCTTGGTTAGTAGGTGGGCGGCTGGTGTGAGCATCTTACCCAGGTGTGAGCTGAAGATTTATTATTTTAATTCTCCTCATATGGTGTTGCTCACGTGCACGCAATACTGAAGGTATAGCAAAAACTTATTGGTAATGCAGGTAGCATCACATTTCAGTCCTCTGGTTACTAACTAAACATAAAGTTTTGTTTCTAGGAAAGCTTTTGTGGACTGACGAGTGAGACCGAAAAAAATATCTAGGAATTTAGTAATGGAGAAGTGACTGGAAAAGTTGCACACTGCATTGCGCCACACCTGGTCCAGGAACCATACCACAACGACACCTGGGTAACGCCACAAACTTTACTTATGACGCAAAACTGTAAAGGAAGTCATGATTCGACCTTGCGTTCATTTTTTATGTAGACTCTTTATGGGAGCGGTAATGGGCGGCCGCCGTGCTTGCAGACCAGCAGCGCTGTCATCGTCATGGGGTTAGGCTAAACCTTAGACATGGTTTTATATAAACACCGAGATGTGTATATGCTGGGAATTTACTACAGTTATCCCTTACTTTAAGGACTCAAGTATCCTTGACTGGTTGAGTACAGGCTAATGCACCATTAATTATATGATCCTCGTGTAGTCGATAGGCTTTAAACCAAATCAAGTATCCAAGCAACTAAACCTTAGAGCGTAATGCTACCTTTATGGGGGTGTAACTATCACTTAAGGAATTTTTATTCTTTATATTGGAATATTACCGTACACTGACAGCCCCAGTTAAAATCGCAAAATTGGAGGCTATAAAATTTTCAGAAAACTGTTATTGTTCTCATTTACAAAAACACCTAAATTATTGGGAATGCCTAAACTCCCTCAAATTTCCTCCTCTGATTAGAGTTAAGAAGTGTATCATCCTTTGTAGAGAATATTAGAGTGGTACCCATGGAAGACTGCGAGCTTCTGACCTGACATTAACCAAACCTTCCAGCCGGATAAAAACAGTAATATAATGTTCAGTGAGGACAAATTTCAGTTAATACGTAACGGAAGAACGGAAGAAATAAAAACAAAATGGGAGGGAATACAAGACAAACTCAGACCACTCAGTAGGACGTAAGTCAATTGTAAGACCTGCGAGTGATAGTGTCAGATCCCATGTTCAAAGAGCAAACAATGTTATTGTCGTAACTGCAAGACAATGATAGGTTGGATAACTAGAACTTTCATAACAAGATCCCTCAAGGGAAGCTCCTTGATGCTGGTGAGGAGCTCTTGATCTAAGGAGTTGGATCTGTACTCCAGTTCCCTGAATTAAGTCTGAATACCTTCCATCCCCCCCTCCAGGCGCTGTATAATCCCTATGGGTTTAGCGCTCCCCCATGATTATAATAATAATTATATAATCATAAGAGATGCCAAGCCAAGGATCTTCGTCCTTTCTCTTAGCTGGAATATTGCTGTGTACTAACGGCTCCCTGCAAGGAAGGTGAAATTGTTGAGCTGGAAAATGTGCGTAGAACTTCACAGCTCTTATAAACATAATCGAGAACCTAAATTACTGGGAACAGTTGAAGTCCCTAGACCTGTAATCCTTAGACATTTGAGAAAAAGATATATCATAATCTAGAAGTTAATGAAGGGATTGGTACCAAACCTGCACGCCGAAATTACTAGTTATAATACAAGAGGTTTGGCAGATGGTGCTGTATACCTGCAATGAAAAGCAGGGGAGTGATGAATATAATGAAACATTACTCATTTAGTTTAAAGGGACCACGACTCTTCAGTACTATCCTTTCATGCACAAAGGGAGAAAACCAACAAAACCCTAGCTGTTCTTAAGAGGGAACTAGACAGATTCCTCAAAATAGTTCCTGATCAGCCTGGTTGTGTTGCATACATTGGACTGCGTGCGGCAGGCACTAACAGCTTGATCGATCAGACCAGCAACCAGGAGGCTTGGTTTGGAACCGGGTTGCGGGGGCGGTAACCTCGAGAAGGGACTCCATGAATAATCAACAGACAACAACAGAAGTAACTTAGTAAGTACCTGACCAGCAGCTGAACATGGCTTACGTTACACTGCAGCAACCAACATGATGAAAGATGTGACTTGTCTGTCTACCTGCGGGTAGGCAAGAGTACCTGATGATGACACCAGTATGACAGGTACACTGACACTCACAGTTAGAGGTACAGTGACACTCAGTATGACAACCACGCTGACACCCAGTGTTAGAGATACAGTGGCACAGTATGACAGCCACACTGAAACCCAGTGTTAGAGGCACAGTGACACAGTATGACAGCTATACTGACAAACAGGATGACAACTATACTGACAAACAGGATGACAGCTATACTGACAAACAGGATGACAGCTACAATCACAGTATAACAGCTACAATGACAATATTACAGCTAAAATGACAGTATGACAGCTACAATGACTATTGATGCAACAGAAAATCCCAGCCACTGACGTGAGGTGTAATTTAATAAAGAATAAAAGTGAGGGTAGCGTGTCTGGAGCACTTCACTATATCTTACTGTAACTCACCGGCC